CAGTGTTCACAAGTTTCCAGATTTGGCAAGACAGTTGGATTTGACGTCACATCCGGTGCAAGTAAATGTATTGTGCAAAATGTATTGTACAAAAATCTGTTTTTTTGTATGTGATTTTTAAATCGCTGCAGGTGAAGAAATCGCTCAATTGTTGACTTAGTCTTAGAAAATTCATGTAGAAATTTCGCTCTACCATCTTGCTACTTGATGTTTTGTTTACATTTCTAACAAATTTCTTTAATCCGTTGTTTGACAGGCCCGTATTTAATTGTACATTTGCAAGGGCTACGGTGGTCAATTTCGTAACACTTGGTGGTGTATACGCACTACTTTGACCTAATACTAAAACATACATACTTTATAGTTAAAATAAACTTTGTTTTGTAAGTTTGTGTAAAACTTTCAAATTATTCGTTTTTAAAGAAATAAGAAACTTGTCAAAAATATACTTCTTGAAACCTATCTAGTGTTATTTCGTAATAGTCAAGACTTTATTTCAATATATTTGTTAAAGTTATTTAAGTATAAATATTTACCACGGGTAATTGTAAGTGGAGGCCGCCGGATGCTTTAGCCAGTTGAATAGTTCCTTCCGGAGATAATTCTTTATTGGAAATAACTCGAGATGCGATTTGTTCGGATAATTTGGCATCTTTTGCTGCTAAAGATTGAATGTTTACCCTTAACATTATTTGAGAGCATTGGTGTGCCAAACCTTTTTCTAAAGGGCTGAGACTTTTGCTGCAACGCACCTTTGGTTTTTTCTCAATAGTGGTTTGCTCAATAAGAGGATGTTTTCTTGCAACTTTGAACGACAATTCGGCATATTAGGCAACAACACATCGTGCCTCTTGTTTCAGGTCTCACTTGTATTGACTTCTTTCCCCTCTTGTTTCCTGCGCAAAGTAGTTCTACACGATTCGCAGAATCCTTTTGGTACCCGAGTATCACTGATATTGATCCTGGTCTTGTACAGTTGGCATATTCGATCTGCTTAGTAATAAGCTGTCTTAATCATTTTTTTAGACAGAACAAGCACACAAACTTTTGATTTTCATCATGATTCTTTGCTTGATTTGGTATCGTGGCAATTCACTAAATTTGACTTCACTAAATCAAACTCTGCCTTTTACAAAATTTAACCTAAATTTATATTAGATAACAATCCACTTAACATAGTAACACATATTATTAATTAAAAACTATTAAAATAAAGGAAATATTTACTTGATTTAATTGAGGTAATATTAGATTACAAGGAAATAGTTCTTGAATAGTTCTTTCCTTACCAGAAAACAATTGTTTAAACTATTTACTTGTAAGGAAATTACATTATTGATAATTGTCACACTTATTAAACTAATGATACTTGTCACACGGGTTGTATTATTTCAAAACAACCCTTCAATCTAATTAGTTATTTAGTTAGAGTAATTTTCCTCCGACTGGCCCTCCAAACTTTGTATTGGTCAGATATCTTAGTTAACTTATCTAAATTTTTTAAGTCAATTATCTTTGTCAATATAAAAAATATTTGGTTTTTTCACAGTTGTTCTATTTTCAGATATATAAATATTTTTATTTTCTATGTAGGTATCCCTAGAAATCCTTCTTAACCATTTTTTTAAAATTTTGTTGCATTCTGGCAGTAGTTTATACCTTGGCAAATGTTGGTATATTCACGCTATGCATACATGGCCGTCAAGGAAGCCATGGTCTGCCCACTTTTTTTTTTGCGAGGACCTTTAGTTTTAGAAATATAGGCAATTAATTTAGAAAATATGGATTTTATTTTAGAAATTGAGGGGTTGAACCCTCTCCACTTTGAAAGCCTCGTCAACGCCATTGGCATAAGCCATTTTAAATCGCGCTTTAAGTAGCAAATCACTATTTTGGTCTATAAAATGAAAACTGAACATGTACCGATAAAATAATTATAACAAAAATTGTTGGTATTACGTAGTAGAACACTCATGTAACCGTTATTTTAAAAAAAGTGATCAAATTTCAAAGTATTCGGTAACGCTTTGAGGTATAAGTGGCAAAAAACTGACAAAACTTCAACTAAAACTGCATTAAATCCAAAAATTGCAATAAATCCTTCAACTAAAACTGCAATAAATCACAGGTTACCTTGATGTGTACGCTAACTTTCCGTATAAGTGGCGTTATTGGGACAGCTAGGTAGGCATTATAAGGATCCGTGCTAACCGTGTATAGATGCCAATAAATTTTTTGATACTTGCAACTGGAATCTGCTATTTGAGAAGTTTTGCTTCCCAAAAATACTTCTACTGTTGGTAGTAAACACAATTTCATGGGTTTATCTATTCGGTACTGCAACATATCATCTCAAGGACTTACCTCAAATTAATTTAGTCTCTCACATGGAGTGCGACAAGGTTCTATTCTATCGCCTCATCTATATAACACTTATACTGAAAGCATTCTAAATGAAATAGTTTCAGATTGTAAAGAAGGACTGACAGTAAATGGTATATATACGAGCATCATTGCATAGACGATGATGTAATCTTACTAAGTTCTATAATTTTTGGTCTTCAGAAACTGATTGACCAATTTCAAACTTATGGAGTCGCTAATTATATCAAATTTAACTCTGAGAAAACGGAGTTTCTAATTTTTAGAACAAGTACTATTTCAAACAATGTTGTTCAAATTAAAGGAAATTCATTATATCTTCAAAATAACATCAAGTTTTCCAACTAATGATACTAATAAGAAAACGGTTGTAACATTTCAAAATAAACCTAATGAGCGTATAACTCAGTTTCAATTGGTTGAAATAGCTCTAACCGACAGTGAAATTCGTTTTTACCGTCAACAATCGTTTAGCTATATAACTCGTTAACAGTTCCTGAGCTTCAATACGGATTTGATCTTTACAAACTTAGTACCAGTTCTCTAAGCAACGTGGATGCTGTTGGAAGAGTAGTTTTAAAATCTTTCTTTTGTATCTCAAAATATTTTAAAAACTACATGCATTCGTTTTTTAAAACAGGTTATATTTCAACTATTCTAATTCAAAACTTAGTAAATCTATTTATCAGACTGTTAAAAAATCAAACTAGTTATTCACTGATATTAAACCAGTTACTGGCAACTCAAAAAAAGTATTTGTATTAAGTTTCTTGATACCGAGTATTTACTTGACACCAAGTATTTATTTGAAGCCAAATATTTACTTGACACCAAGTATTTAGTTGACACCAAGTATTTAGTTGACACCAAGTATTCACTCGACACCAAGTATTTACTTGACACCAAGTATTTACTTGACACCAAGTATTTACTTGAAAAGAATGTAAAAAAAAGTGTAGAAATGGCATAACGATAATAAAACAAGCATTCCTTTTCTTTTATATTATTATTTTTATATATATTTATATTTATACAACATTATTAATTTTTCATTATTATTTTTTATATGGTTATTTATTTAACTTATCTGATTTTTTAGTTCTAAATATTTATATTTTTATATATTTAATTTATGTATTACATATTCCTTTTTTTTATATGCTTTCCTATATATATATATATATATATATATATATATATATATATATATATATATATATATATATATATATATATATATATATATATATATATATATATATATATATATAAATATATATATATATAAATATATATATATATATATATAAATATATATATATATATATATATATATATATAATATAAATATAAATATATATATATATATATATATATATATATATATATATATATATATATATATATATATATATATATATATATATATATATATATATATATATATATATATACAGGGGCGGATACAGGATGTTTTGAAGTTTGAAATAACTAACTTCCAGACATGGAGCGAACTCGAAACTTTTATATGTTTATATTTATATCAAATATGGATACTTTGCAAAAAATTGAGATGATAGGAGCCTGGGAACAAAAAAACCCAAAAATTTTTGCTACACCTGCCCCAAACGTGAGAGCAACAAGTTGATAAAACAAGTTTTTTACTTTTCTTAACTAAATCTATATTCATCGAGAAATTTTTAATTTTGTAAAACAATCTTTTAGCGTTCAATAATAATGGTCTTATAAAATTTGTAACCCCCTCAAAATGAGGGGGATTTAAACTTTATGTGGCTATAACTTTTGAACGTTAAGAGATTATTGTATGAATTTTAAAATTTCTCGATGAATATAGATTTAGTTAAGAATAGTAAAAAAATTATTTTATCAACTTGTTGCTCTCACGTTTGGGGCAGGTGTAGCAAAAATTTTGGGGCTTTTTTGTTCCCAGGCTTCTATCATCTCAATTTTATGCAAAGTATCCTTATTTAATATAACTATAAACATATAAAAGTTTTGAGTTCGCTCCATGTCTGGAAGTTAGTTATCTCAAACTTCAAAAAATCCTGCATCCGCCCCTGATATATATATATATATATATATATATATATATATATATATATATATATATATATATATATATATATATATATATATATATATATATATATATATATATATATATTACATACGGTTTTACGGTTTTACGGTTTTACGGCGAGAAAAGAGGGGCGGCTAAATTGAGCAAGTTATCAGATTACTATTATTTTTTCATATCGATTATTATCAAAGCAATCATTTATATTGTATTCTAAAAAAAAATGGCTAAAAATTTTACACCATCCCAAGTAAAAGAATTATTGGATATGCACGAAAACACTTTACTTAAAATATTTAACGAACGCTTTCAAAAGCTAGAAAACGACTTTTCAATAATAAAGGAAGAAAATAAGTATTTAAAAAAAGAATTAGAGCAAACTAATTCCACTATTCAATTCTTAAGCGACAAATACGAAACAATGAAAGAAACATTAAACAATAATAAAAATAAAATATCCCCTCAAGACAATTTTAAACAAAAAGCAACAAATCTTGAAAACGAATATCTTAAAGACAAGATGGCAGAGTTAGAGGACAGAAGTCGTCGTAACAACCTTCTGTTTGAAGGAATCGAGGAAACTGAAGGAGAAACGTGGAAAAACAGTGAGGAGAAAGTGAAAAAGCTAATAAAAGAAAAACTAAATATAAAAAAAGAAATATATATAACGTGCGCACAGAACCGGGAAGAAAGAAGACAACGACGGTAAAATAAGAAGAAGAAGAACTATAGTAGTTAAATTTTTAGATTATAAAGATCGTGAAACTATACTAGATAACTACAAAAAGCTGAAATTATGGAACGAAAAGATGTATATCAATGAAGATTTTAGTGAGAGAACAATCAACATTCGCAAACAACTATTCATTAAAGCCAAAGAAATACGTTCATCAGGTAATTTTGCCAAAGTTGTTTATAATAAATTAATCACCAAGTCTTTCGAAAAGACTATCTGATTATAAAAAAACAAAAACAAAAAAAAAAAGGCTTTATATATATATATATATATATATATATATATATATATATATATATATATATATATATATATATATATATATATATATATATATATATATATATGTAATATGTTCACATGTGTGCGTACATATATATCAGTGTTTATAAAAACCTTCAAATATTTTCAAAATAACAAAAACATACAAAATTAAACTTATCGGAATGATTTTGAAAAAATATCAAATTTATTTCAAACAAATACTTTTAATTTAGACAATGAATCTGATCCAGATATTAATTATTTTAATGAGATTAATGGATCAAAATTCGAATCCTCTTACTTTTATCCAGATAAAATTAAAAGCATATTTAAAAATAATGATAATCGTTATTATTTTAATATAATCCACGTTAATATCAGAAGTTTAAAAAAAAATTTTGATAACTTTTTAAATATGATTTGTCAAACGGAAAATTTTATTAACGTTATTTGCTTAACAGAAACTTGGTGTACAGAGGAAGATTTTAAATCAAACTCTAATCTCCATCTTACAGGTTTTAATACGGTTTTCTTAGAGCGTAATGTTAATAAGGGTGGAGGAGGAGTTCTTTTTTACATAAAAGAAAACCTTGCGTATAATATTCTAAGCGATATGAGTGTTTCTGATGATAATATTGAGATTTTAACGGTTGAAATAATAAATAAAAAATCTAAAAACATTTTACTAAGCTGCTGTTATCGGCCACCAACCGGAAGAACTGGGTACCTAAGCAATTATCTAGTTCATAATATAATAGAAAAAACTAGCCAAGAAAAGAAAAAAAATTATATACTGGGGGATTTCAACCTTGACTGCTTCCAGTATAATGAAAAAAAATATATAACAAAGTTTTATAATCATTTATTTGAAACGGGAACAATACCCATTATAAATAAACCTACTAGAATTACAAAATCTTCATCCTCCTTAATTGACAACGTTCTTACCAATGACTATTTCAATATTACACTCAAAAAAGGTATTATAAAAACTAATGTTTTGGATCACTTTCCAATTTTTTTCTGCTTAGGCGCTGACCACAAAACAAATACGAATGGTAAAATAACATTAAAAAAACGAATTTATAGCAACAATAACTTAAATTTATTTAAAGAGCAACTTTTACACCAAGACTGGAGCTATATAAACTTTAATGAGGATATAAATATCATCTACAAATCTTTTTTTAATATATTTTACAAAATATATGAAGCAAATTTTCCTATTCGAGAAATAGTTCCTAACGCCAAAGACATATCTTGTCCTTGGATAACTAAAGGAATAAAAAAATCATCAAAAATAAAACAAAAACTCTATATTAAATATCTTAAAAATAAATCCGACAAACATAAAAATAACTACACAGTTTACAAAAATCTATTTGAAAAACGCCGAAAAAAAGCCAAACAAATTTACTACTCTGACTTATATATAAAACACAAGCATAATTCAAGGCGGGTGTGGCAAATAATGAAAGAAATTACTAGCAAACATAAGACAAACACAAATACGATGCCGAATGCTATAAAATTTGAAAATAAGTTAATTACCGATTCAAATGAAATCGCAGCCGAATTCAATAACTTTTTTTCGTCAATAGGACATAACCTATCAAACAAGATTCCTTATGTATCAAACAAGATTCCTTATGTAGACAACAACTCTGTTGATGAATTTATATCATCACCAAATTCAACTATAAATTTTTCAAATATAACTTATAATGAATTCGAAATTGCATTTAAATCATTAAAAGGAATAAAGCAATAGGACCTGATGATATAAATGGAAATATTGTAATCGACTCTTTTAATGAGATTAAAGATATCCTCTTCAAAGTCTTCAAAGCATCTATTACTCAAGGATTGTTTCCAAATAGTTTGAAAATAGCCAAAGTAACTCCAATCTTTAAAACAGGTGGCCATACCAACATAACAAACTATCGTCCTATCTCAGTTCTACCGGTCTTTTCAAAAATATTAGAAAGAATAATGTATAATAGAATTTACACTTATCTTATTGATAATGAACTCCTTTATAAAAATCAATTTGGTTTTCAGAGAAACAGTTCTACTGAACACGCTATTCTCCAAGTAACACGCAGTATTGCTGATTCATTTAAGAATTCTCAATTCACACTAGGCATATTCATTGACTTGTCAAAAGCTTTTGATACTGTTAATCATCATATTTTAATAAAAAAGCTAGAGAGCTATGGTATAAAAGATAAAACCCTAAATTGGTTCAAAAGCTATCTAAGTAACCACAAACAATTTGTTTATAACAAAGAATCTTCATCGCAAATAATAAAAAATATAACATGCGGTGTCCCCCAAGGGTCCATACTTGGACCACTATTATTTCTATTATACATAAATGATCTTTACAAAGCTTTTACCCTAACGACCGTAAATTTTGCAGATGATACGAATTTATTTCAGTCGCACGAAAACATAGAAATACTTTTTAATAATATGAATAATGAATTAAAAAAAATATCATATTGGTTTAGAAAAAATAAATTGTCCTTGAATACGGATAAAATAAAGTTTATACTTTTTCACCCAACCTCTAAAAAAAAGAGAATCCAAAATATCTTACCTGACCTATTCATTGACAATACAATCATAAAGAGAGAAAAATTTACAAAATTTTTAGGAGTCATAATAGATGAAAACTTATCTTGGAGTCAGCAAATTGATAGTATTTCAATGAAAGTTGCTAAAAACATTGGAGTTATATACAAAGCTCGATATATACTAAATAAAAAGCAACTAACTCAACTATATTATTCATTTATTCATTGCCATTTAAACTATGCCAATATTATATGGGGAAGCGCTCACAAAACCAAACCTAAATCTCTCTATCGGCATCAGAAACACGCAGCTCGCATAATTAATTTTGGAAATCGTTTTTCAAGCTCAACACCACTTATCTTATAGAAATGAAAGCTTTAAATATACACGAACTAAATATTTTTAATATTTTATGTTTTATGTTTAAATGTAAAGAAATTTATCTACAAGTGTATTTATAAATCTCTATAATTTGAAACCAAAAAACAAATATGAACTTCGTGATAGTAAAAATATTCAAGAGCCGTTTTGCAAAACAAAAATTGACCAGTTTTGTATTTCTTATCGTGGTCCATTTCTTTGGAATAAAATAGTTTTACCTAACTTTGATTTTTCTTTTAAATAGTCTTATTCCTCCTTTAAAAAGAAAACAAAAGAAATAATCTTTTCAACACAAAATATTTTAATTTATTTTTAGTATTTCAAGTTATTTGATATTTTTGTCGACTGTGTGATGAATATTATTTAAACAATATATGCTGAATACTTTATATTATAATATTGTTCAATATTGAGAATGTTATATATCCATATTATAAAATATTATGTTATAACTTGCTTAACATCTGAAGAATATTCTAACGCTTATGTAATTTTTAATATTTGTAAATTTTCTACCTTTTAATTCGTTATATAGATTGTAAAGGGCTTCATGATAAGATCATGTGATCTTCTGGAAGTCCTACCAGTAATATATTCAATGTAAATTTACTTTGTTCATATTTTTCTAAAAAAAAAAAAAAAAAAAAAAAAAAAGATATATATATATATATATATATATATATATATATATATATATATATATATATATATATATATATATATATATATATATATATATATATATATGTCAATGCGTTTTGTGCCGTTACGAATCTAATTCTAATGCAGCAATAAATACCTTTAAAATGGAAATTAGTATAAATTAGAAGTCTGAACATGACTCTGGATGCATTTTTCAGGCCTCGTGTTGCAATGGGTTTTAGCAAACAGCAATAAAAACTTTTTACCCACTCATGTTTAAAAGTTTTTCAAAAGCAAGGTTTTAGGTTGATAATTTTTTTTGTATGTTGTAGGTGGTTAAAACTCTAAATTGTAGATATATTTCACTTAAGCATTTCCTTTAAATTCATCCATAAACATCTTTCATCTATTTTAAGTAACTTGACTTTTAAATTTGAATATCATGAATTCAACTTGGTGAATTATAATATGATTTATTCTATATATTAAGAAAGTTTCTAAGCAAAATTTATGGAAATTGAACGTTTAACTCAGTAAGCTAGTTTCCAAGGAATGCTCTGTGTTCCTTGGAAACTAGCAAACAGAGATAGAAAAGAACATTCATTTTGCATTTCTAATTTAACGCTGTGAACAAGTAACGTTTTTTTGCATTTAAAACATCTATTAAAGATATATATATATATATGTATATATATATATATATATATATATATATATATATATATATATATATATATATATATATATATATATATATATATATATATATATAGATACACCTCTGGGCACTTGCCCACCTCTGATCAAGTTTTGCGACTTCGGTTTAGAAGGAGGCGTGAACTTCCTATTAAATGCTCTTCCGCGGTGTTCTGTGATAAAACCGGTGAGAACTTCTTAGTGCACCTTAATCAACTTTAAAATATATATATATATATATATATATATATATATATATATATATATATATATATATATATATATATATATATATATATATATATATATATATATACATATATATATATATATATGTATATATATATATAGGCGGAAAAACATTTAAAATGAGCAACAATAAATGTTTTAGATAAACAAAATTTTTTGCAAAGCTTAAAACTGAGTCATTGGCAACAAACGCAGCATAGCTTTCCATCAATGTGTTAAAAAGTCCTAGATATCCATGTTTTCTTATCGCATCAGCAGGAAGAATGCTTTCTTGCTAGGATTGAATTTCACAATTTTTTTTGGTTATATTTAGATTTCATAAAATGTAAAATGCCAAGTTATTCACTTTAATAATATTTATCAAAGCTCTGACATTCTTGTGTGTTTTAGGTAGATTTTCAACAATGAGTTGACGTTTGACACGTTTTAACGAGCTATTGACTCTTTTTTTTTTTAAACTTGTTTCGTCAATTTAGTCAACTATCTAAATATTTTTATAAAAATATATTTTTGCATTAAGATAAATGACACTGTGAAAAATGTCAATAATAATTGATATTTTTTTGAGGTGATAGTAAAATTTACATTTCTCTGTTTCTAAACACGAAAGATTTTTTGATTATTTTATATATTATATTTTTAATGAATTTTAATTTTTTTAAAGTTTTTGGTCTACTTTAGGATAAAGTAATTTTTTTTTTACAAAAACACTATTTTCTTTAACGGATCAAGAGGGCACAAATATAAAATATATAAGGTAATCAGAACATAAAGGAAAAAATTCCCTTTTATTCCTGCGTTTTTTTATTACTTCCTGGCAGGGCTGGACTGGGCCGCCGGGACACCGGGACGATTCCTGGTGGGCTGCCTGGTTTTTAGCAGGTTGTTTTGATTTGCTTTTGACTTCTAACGCGATTTGTGGCTAGCGATAATTATGCGATACCATCCGCAGTGAGATATTTCGTATTTTTAATGATTGCATTTTGTGAAGTGAATCTTTTGAAGTGACAGGTCGTGTAAGGGTGAAAACGGCATTTGAAAACAGTGTGTGAAACTACGTGTAGCATAAAGTGAAAAGTTGATGATTGCGTATTCGGGAAGCGGGAGCGATTGTTGACCACGGAAATAATATTTAGTTGCAAAAAACTGGCCAGATTTTTTAGTCGTTTTGAGAACATTTCATTTTATGTATGTTTCCATGTTTGTCCGCAAAATAGTTATAAAGTTAAAATGTAAACTTAAATGGGCCTCTAATATTATAGCGTTCTCCTTACGTATATATTTGATAAGATGAGTGAAGATTTGAAGCGGAAAAGTAAAGGCGGGGCAGAAAAGCAACGTGAAAAGAAACAAAGGCTTCTTCTTCAAGGGGGAGAAAAGTGTAAAAAGATAACCGAACTTTTTAGACTAAGTACCCCCACCCAGTTTGGTGGTGATACTCTGGTTGATGATTTAGGTTCTCAAATTTCTGACGGCGATCAAGCCGGTCCTGCCGTCTCAGCCTCCGTGAGCTGCACTGTGCTAACTCCATCCCAGAAATCTGTATCCTCTGACTCCCGGCCTCAGAATCAGTGTTCGGAAATTTTCATGCGTCCACAATCCCAGTGCCTTAAATCATTTTTCAAGAGTCATCCGGTTCAACCAAAAGAGGATGGGGAAAATTTACCATTTTCAAATGTTCGTCGAGTGTTTTATAGAAGCCAAGACGATATCAATAGGGTTTGGCTTTCTTACTGTCACAGTTCGAAGGCCATGTTTTGCACAGTGTGTCTGGCCTACAGCAAAGCTAGTGAATCCAATGCATTTACTGATGGCATGAATGATTGGAAGCATGTTCACCAACGAATCAAAAAACACGAATCGAGTAAACACCATTGCAGGAGTGTAGAGGCACACATTATGTCGAGCAATGAAAAGGACGTATATAACTTGCTTTTTTCAAATCAAAAAAATGTGAGAGCTGCTCAAGTTAAAGAAAAACGGCAAGTTCTAGAACGTGTGATAGAAATTGTTAAACTTATTGGAAAGCGAGGACTTAGTTACAGATCTATCAATGACGCAGCCTACTGTCTGGACAATGTCAATATTGACCACGGGAATTTTTTTAAAAATTTAATCCTTCTGTCTAAATTTGACCCGCTTATGAAAAATCATCTTGACATCGTGACGGAGAAAAGTAAGCAACGACATGTCACGTGCGCAGCATCAGGAACGAAGGGACGAGGAGGGTTAGTAACATTTATTTCAAGCACTACTGTCAATTATGTAATTGAATCTGTTCGCCGTATGATTAAGGCATCGATTGCAGATGAGATTCAATCGGCAAGAATGTTCTCCGTGCAACTGGACACAACGCAAGATGTTAGCGTAAAGGATCAATGCTCGATTGTAATCCGATATGTTAAAGACCATATTTACGAGCGGCTGGTATCCGTCAGCAATTGTACTAATTCGACAGGCAAGGGTATGCTTGAGCTGTTCCGGGATAAAATTGTCAAAATGGGCATAAACATTAAAAACTGTGTGGGAAACTCTACAGACGGGGCGGCAAACATGCAGGGCCAATATTCCGGTTTCACAAAATGGCTCAGTGAGGCATCCCCAAATCAAGTGCATGTGTGGTGTTACGCTCATGCATTGAATCTTGTTCTTGTTGATACCACACAAACCACCAAAGCTGCTATCAGTATATTTCAGCTTATAAACAAATGTGCTGTTTTCTTGCGCGAATCATATATACGAATGGACATATGGGCGTCAAAACAATCAAACAATAAAAGACTAAATGTAATTGGCGAGACACGCTGGTGGGCAAAGGACCATGCATTAAAAAAAATATTTGGAAGCTTCAACAACCCATCGACGTCCTTGTATATTGAGCTAATTGAAACTTTACAAGAGTTAGCCTCCTCTGAAGACTTTAACCCAACTGATCGCGACACCGCCCAAACCCTATTAGATAAGTGCATCTCATTTGAAACAATTCTTACCGTTCAAGTTTTTTTGCGTATATTCCAACAAACAGCATCACTTTCCAAGTACCTGCAGACAAGTGGGATGGACGTGCTCCAAGCCTACCGAAATGTTGACTGCACTATCAAGGCACTGCGAGACGTGTCCAGAGACTTTGATGGCATTAATGCGAGCGCTAAAAAATTTGTCGAGTGGGCCAACAACTCATTGGAAGATCTGAAAATTGATGTGACGGTTGAAGCTGCATTGCCAGAGAAACGAGTTCGCGTCCCAAAACCAATGAGTGGTGAGCGACGCACTCACAAGGCTGTCGGAGATAGCGCAATTGATTGTTACAGGATAACGGTACACAACTGCGTTATGGACAAAGTAGTGAAAACTTTGGAAGAACGCTTTAAAGCTCAAGAAACGTTGTTCGCTGACATGGCGTGCTTGAATCCGGAAAATTTCTACGATATCAAGAAAAACGGTATCCAACCTACTGCCTTAGTACGTCTCAGCAGCATTCTAACAAAATTTAATAAAGATGCAACAGCTTCAAATTTACAATCCGAACTCATCGACTTTTCGCTCAAGTGGAGCAAATTTAAGAAGACCGTTCCTGAATAGTATTTGGGCATGAACTTAGCGGAAAACCGAAACGACAACGATGAATTGGAAAACGACAAGGAAACTGCAGTTTCTTCTTCGTTCTCTGAAGACAAAGAAGCTCATGGTAAATGCAAGAGTTGCAAAAATTGCCCCGTCTGTTGCTTCACGGTTTTACACAAATACAATTTCTACAGCAAAGCCTACACCCATTTGTACAATGCTTATAAGCTCTTGCTGACTTTATCGTCTACTCAAGTTGCGTGTGAACGATCCTTTTCCAAAATAAAATAGATCAAAAATAGACTGCGAAGTTCAATGTCGTCCACGCATTTAGAAGCTTTTATGCTGATGTCTGTCGAAGTAGATGTTATGGTTGGGCTGTCCAACGAATACATCATTGACTCGGTTGCAGAAATCGCACCTGGGCTAAAAACACATCTGGTCCTTTGATCCACTACCATCCACATTCGGTAAGTTTCGATAATATGGCGTCAGAAACATTATGTTATTACGGACGTTACCAAATCATAATTGATGGGTTATTTTTTTTGTTAATATCGAGTGCAACACATTATAACCACAGAATTCTGGAGACAGCATGTATACCTTTTATGATTGCAATACAGATTCTATTGGTCGAATGCAGTTTTGCACTAACTATACCATGTATAAGGTACGTGCTATAAATATTACTGTTAAAGCATCAAAGTAGATTATCAGATGTTTTTGTACAACTTAGTCAAATAATTGTTTTGTAGTAGACCAGAGAGCTTGCACATTATAGTATAGTTGTGACTTTTCGAGCGATATTTTCGACTACCTATTAAAACATATTGAAACATCTATATTATACCTGTATGGTAAATGGTAGCTATATACCTATATAGATATATATAAATATATATTATGCAAGAATAAAAATGTGAAACAGCCTACAATTTGTAGGCCTTAAAAAAGTCGCCGTGATTTTATCTAACTCCTAAACATGATACGAATTTTTTTGCTGCTGCTATGCAAGTCGGAAAATCCCAGCTGAACCCCTCCCCTCATTCTCCCCCGCCCCTTAATGACTTAGTATTGCTGTATGTGGGCCGGACCGCTTGCTTTACAGTCCCGGGCCGCTTAAACACCCCCAGTACAGCCCTTTGTATATATATATATATATATATATATATATATATATATATATATATATATATATATATATATATATATATATATATATATATATATATATATATATATATATATATATATATATATATATATATATATATATTTAAGGGGTAAACAGATTCTATCTGTTGACCAGCCTCGCACCCCTTCCTCATCTATTAGGCTGGCGCTGATGTATTTTTAATACATTGTTTCCAGTTTAGGATGTTGAACGCTGGATCTTCTTGACTCAATGCGTGGGTATTGCTTGTGTCTCTATTTTTATGACTGGGCAACTCATTCTATTATCTCCTAATGAGGGTACAGCTCTAAAACTCAGTTTTATGGTTCTGAGGCCGGCTGGTAGTCAGGTTTCCCGAACTCTGTGGTAGCTCTCAGAGAGGCTGATTCCATCAACAGCCGAAAAATATCAGAGTACTAACAGTGCCATGTTGCGCATGGATGGTGTCCCTGTTTGTACTTTTGGTGTGCATTGCAGAGGCCACATTTGGAGCCCTTTGTTACGGCTTAGGGTTTATTAATAGTAATGAGGCTATTGCTTAGTTGTTAAATAGTGTACTGAGTACTATCTATACTTGAGTCAAGTTCTTTATAAATTTAAAATGACTAAAGTACCTAAAACTAAAAAACACAAAAAACCATCGTCATCACCAAGTTCTCTAAACCTATCATTTACTAATATTCGTGGTCTTCGAAGTAACTTTTCTTCTGTTGAGTCTTATCTCTTGCAAAGTTCACCAGACCTACTTGCTCTTTGTGAGACTAATTTGAGTTCGGCTGTCCCATCTTGTGATCTTAGTGTTGATGGTTATCTTCCTTTAATTCGTAAAGACTCCAATAATCACATGCTTGGCCTGGGCATCTACATTCGTAAGAACTCACCCATTTGTCGTGAAACTAGGTTTGAATCTACAGACTATTCATTTATGTGCTTTCGTTTAGCACAACTTCACTCTATCACCTTTCTCTTTGTTCTATATCGCTCTCCTTCATCCCAAGATTGCACTATTCTTGATGCTATTTCTGATCAAATTGACCAAGCCCTCTCTCTTTATCCATCGGCCAATATCGTCGTTGTTGGTGACTTTAATGCCCATCACACCGATTGGCTTGGCTCTAGTGTCAGTGACTCTGCTGGCGTTAAGGCCCTCAACTTTTGCCTTTCTCAATCTCTAACTCAAATAGTCAACTTTCCAACTCGTTTTCCAGACAACCCTAATCATTTACCTTCTCTACTCGACTTATGTCTTGTTTTGGATCCTAGTCAGTGCTCAATTTCTCCACATTCACCCTTAGGTACTTCTGATCACGGTTTGATCTCTCTAAAACTATTATCAAACTCTTCTACTTCATCAGAATCCCCCTATCATCGTACCACATACAACTACCTTAAAGCTGACTGGGACTCTTTCCGTGATTTTCTTCGTGATGGCCCTTGGGTAGAAATCTTTCGTCTTCCTGCTGACAAATGTGCTTCTTACATAACTTCGTGGATTCAGGCTGGCATGGAATCTTTTATTCCCTCTCGACGATTCCAGGTCAAGCCTTACTCTTCTCCTTGGTTTTCCTTACATTGCGCTGCAGCAATTTCTAATCGAAACCGTTACTTCCATATCTATCAGCAAAACAATTCTCCAGAAAACAGACATCTGTTCACTATTGCCAGAAACCATTGTAAAAAGGTTTTGTCTGACGCCAAAGCTCGCTATTCTCAGGTCATTAAATTTCGTATCTCATCACAAAAATTAGGCTCTCGAGACTTCTGGAGAATCTTTAACAGTATCAATAATAAGGGCAAATCTGTTATTCCTTCTCTCTTGTATGGTTCAGACTTTGTCACCTCACCTAAAGACAAAGCTGAATTGTTTGCTAAGAACTTTTCATCAATATCATCTCTCGATTCCACTAGTTGCGTTTTACCTGACATAGCTGTCAAACAGGTTGATCCCTTGCTTGACATTCGCATCACTTCAGCTTCTGTATCAAAAGTAATTTCCTGCTTAGACTCTTCAACAGCTTGTGGTCCTGACAACATTCCTGTTGTAGTCTTGCAGAGGTGTTCTCCGGAGCTTTCATCCATACTTTCAAAACTATTTAACAAGTGCTTATCAGAGTCTTGTTTTCCATCATGCTGGAAAGCAGCATCTGTTATCCCTATTTTCAAAAATTCTGGAGAGCGATCTGATTCATCTAACTACCGTCCCATTAGTCTTCTTCCTGTCATAAACAAGGTTTTTGAATCTTTAATCAACAAACACTTAATCTCTCATCTTGAATCAAATAACTTACTTTCTGATCATCAATATGGATTTCGGTCTTCTCGTTCTACAGCTGATGTGCTAACAGTAATAACCGATAGGTTTTACCGTGCATTAGATAGAGGTGGAGAGGTTAAGGCTATCGCACTTGACATTTCTAAAGCTTTTGATAAAGTTTGGCATGCTGGTCTTCTCCATAAGCTTTCTTCTTATGGTGTAGCTGGTAACATCTTTAAGATTATTGAGTCCTTTCTTTCCAATCGTAGTATAAAAGTTGTCCTCGATGGACAACACTCTTCTTCACATCCTGTAACTTCAGGGGTTCCTCAAGGTTCAATCCTTGGCCCTATACTCTTTTTAATTTACATTAACGATCTTCCAGATATTCTCACATCTAAGGTGGCATTATTCGCTGACGACACTACCATTTACTCTTGTCATGATAAGAAGCCTACACTCTCTGATTGCTTGGAGGGGGTATCTGAGCTTGAAAAGGATCTCACTTCTGCTACAGCATGGGGCTCACAGTGGCTGGTGAACTTTAATTCAGATAAAACTCAATTTTATTCGGCCAATCGTTATCGTAATAATTTAGATCTTCCTATATTTATGAATGGTAATGTACTAGATGAGTCATCTACCATTCATCTTCTAGGATTAACTCTTACTTCTGATCTTTCTTTTAAACCGTATATCAAATCCATTGCAAAATTAGCATCTGCTAAGGTTGCATCTCTTTATCGAGCTCGACACTTTCTTACTCCAGATTCTATTCTCTATCTCTATAAATCTCAAATCCGTCCCTGTATGGAATACTGTTGCCACATCTGGGGCGGATCTTCTAATGATGCTCTGTCTCTTTTAGACAAAGTGCAAAAACGAATTGTAAACATAGTTGGACCTGCTCTGGCAGCCAATCTCCAACCTTTGTCACATCGTCGTAATGTTGCTTCTCTTTCTCTTTTCTACAAATACTATAATGGGCACTGCTCTAAAGAGCTAGCGTCCCTTGTGCCAACTACTCATCTTTTTTCTGTGACTGTTCCTAAGTGCTTCAAAAACTATTATTCTTCTAGTTTTTTTCCTCGAACATCAGTTCTTTGGAATTCGCTTCCTTCATCTTGCTTTCCTGATTCATATAATTTGCAATCTTTTAAGTCATTAGTCAATCGTCATCTTGCTCTACAGATTTAGTCTTTTCTCTTCCAGTAACTTCCAACTCTTATAGTGGTTGCTTGCAGCCTTGTTGGAAGTGAAGATGCTAAAAAAAAAAAAAAATATATATATATATATATATATATATATATATATATATATATATATATATATATATATATAAATATATATATATATATATATATATATATATAGTCTTTCATGGTAGTCAAAAAATTTTTCCCACAAACTGTTGTTTTAAAGAGCACGTTAATAAACCTGACCAGAAAATGTTGAAAAACTTATTAAAAAAATTATTATTTTTTAAATAATAGACTGCCTCCCCAAACCAAACCTTCAGTCGATGTAGCAACACTCCCTTGCGAGTCAGGCTGTTTGTCAGTCGATGTACCAGCACTTCCTTGCGAG